AGCCTGTCCCACCTGCAGATCGGGGTGACTTGGAGCAGCAGGAGCATCCTTGTGTCTGACCTGCCCAGCCTGGGCATCCCTGAGGAGGCACTGCTGGACAAGCTGGAGCTCTTCTTCAGCAAGACAAAAAATGGGGGTGCCGAGGTAGAGAGCAGGGAGTTCCTGGATGACCCTGGCCAGGTTGTGCTGACCTTCGCTCAAGACGGAGGTGTGTGGGGTGTGCTGAGCTCAAGCTATCAGCAAGGGGTGAGCAGTCTAGCCAGCTCGGGGAGGGGGCGGCACATATCGTGTCCTGAGAGCAGATGGAGCCGTGTCTGTGAGGAACAGGGAAGGCAGTCCTGTCTCCCTGAGACTGTGCAGGTGAGCTGGAGCTCGGCAGTGCCAGGCTGGGAGTCTGCGCCAGGGACGTAAGTTCAGCGGGGGCCTGGGCAGCTCAGGGCTTTCTCTCCACTGGCAGTGGCAGAGCCTCTAATTGCGAGAGGACGCATCCAGGTGCCTATTGGGAAAGGGAAATACGAGGTCAAAATATCACCGTGCATGAGCGGCGAGATCGCAAACCTGCAGGTGAGGGCACGAACTGTAGTGTGAGCAGCACCTGCCAGCCCAGGGTGAGGCAGAAGGTAGAGGGGGCTACTGAAGACCAGTTCCCCATCCAGCTGCGCTGCACCCTGCTCAGCACGTGCCCCCAGGGGACCTCTTCCTTGGGGCCCGCTGCAGCTCACCCCCTCCTCTGCCCAGCTCCAGCCCTCCCGCTGCCCCAGGACTGTCCTGCTCTTCGGGATCCCAGACGTGCTGGATGAGGAGTCCATGAGGGACGCCCTGGAGATCCACTTCCAGAAGGCCAGCCTCGGTGGGGGAGAGGTGGACGCCCTCGCCTACGTCCCGGCAGGACGACTGGGGGTGGCTGTTTTCGCGGAGGACGCGGGCTAGCCCTGGCCAGCCCGGTGTGCGGGAGCTCTTGGCGTGGCCCCTGGCCCAGAGAGAATTAAAAGCGTCTGCAGGGAACGCGTGTCTGTCGTGCTGGGGACGGGGTGA